TCTGTTCATGTCAATGTTTAGGTAAACAGACGGTTTAGAGTATGTGATAATTTCATTTCTTTATTATTTTATGTATTTAAATAATTTAAATGAATGGCCAAAAAATAAAAGTACATTTGCTTTTTAAATATATATTTTTTATTTATAATTATTTTTCTCTTGTAGTCGGTTAACTAATATTGACTGAGGTTTTTTGGGTGATGATGACACGTGTCATGAAATGACATTTTATTAATCCTATAAATGAATTTATGCAAAAATCCAGAAAGAAAAAAATTAATAAAATAATAATAATTAACTGTTGCAGAAAATGGGGAATGACCGATGTGACAGTTGGCTAACAGGAAGGAACTGACTAATTTAATTATCTAGTTGACTGGTCAAAGGCCACCCTTCACCACAAAAACTACATAACAACTCGAAGCCATCTTTATTATTATTATTATTATTATTATTATTATTTGACAAAGAATTTGACAATATTAATAAATAATATAGAATTTTATTTCTAAATTTTATATTTATTTAATTTTATTAGATAATTTTGATATGAATTGTTAGAATTACTTCAAACATATATAAATATAATATAGTTTGACATGTTTATCAGCAAATAGACATTTTTAATCTAACTTAATTTATCTTATGCTAAGAGATTCACCTAGCATAAGTTAAACTCTTTACTTTATAATGTAATTTTATATAACTAATTGATACTCAAATAAACTTTCTTCTAGATAATATTTGAGAAGCTTACATATATATATATATATATATATAAGAAACTTAGAAGAAAATTCTTGTATCATATATATATATGTGTGTTGTAAAAAAAATTTGTAGATTATAAAAATTGAGACTAATAATATTCTCACGGCTTCTTCTGTAACACCCCGAGCCCATAATTTAGGATCAGAATAACAAAACTTATTTTAATAATAGTTTTAAAAATTATTAATTTTAAATATTTAATTTTTTAAAAAAGAAATATACATTTTTTAAATATATTTAAAAATAATTTTAAAAAGAAGGAACCCAACTAAAAATAAAAAAGAACCCATTTAAAATAAAAAATTAAAAAATTGAGGCCAAAGAACAAAAATAGAAAAAGCAACTATGTAGGACAGCCACGTCAGCAACACGACAAGTCATCATGTATCGAGTTTGGCCGAATTCGGCCGAAAACAGTCGGAAACGGCCAACTCGAAGTGGATCACCGCCGTAGGCGGTGGCGCCGTCGCCGGAGCACGGCGGAGCTGCTGTGCCAGAATTCTGATATTGGCCAAAAGGGCCCTGGGTCAAATTTGGGATTTTTTGGGGGATACGTGCAAGTACCGAAAGTGTGTTTTCGTTTCTAGAGAAAAATTCAGGGAATTTAGGGACAGCCCGTAGGCGCAGTGAGAACCCGATTTCAGACCTCGAAACAAGTAGAGATTTCTCATCCTATTTTCTATCACGGTATTAAAGCTCAATAAATGATAAAACAGTGTTTTATAAATTAATAGATGTGTATAATTGCTTAAGGTTATTAATGGAGCCCGAATCTGGTGTTTTTATCTGTTAGTTGTTATTTGATCTATTTTACAGTTTTAAATGCAATATGGTACTTGATGTGTTTATTTTATGGTTTCATATGCATGAATCCCAGTTTTATTTGTTATGGTTTGAATTATGGTGAACCCGATGTTGTGTTGTTTTGTTTGGTGTTCATTACTGCTTTACGTGTTTATGTTTGATTGGATAATTGAGACCAAGAAAAATGAAAAAAAGTTATGTGAATTGATAAATGGATAATGTCAACAGGCTAACTATATATCCTGGGAGATGGTGGGCGGACCGGATCCGTAGGGAACCCTATCGGGAACGTGGTCCCTCATATCAGACGGAGTATGGTGACCTTATGTGTTTTAGCGCCCATACCAGACGTGGTATGGGGACGACCCGTTTCACCCTCATACTGGACAGGGTATTGAGGTTTATGGTTTTGGCGCTCATACCGGACGGGGTATGGGGACGGCCCTGGAATTAAGTTATTAATGTGAATGGTTTACGTGTAGTGGGGACCCCCTATGGATCCCCATAGATACTAGTAGGCTGATAAAAGATGAAAATTATTGTCTGATGATTGAAAAACGAGAGTTTGATATGTGTTATGTTAGAAAGTGTGCATGATTTTATGATATTTATGATGTTATTATGTTCATAAATTGTTTTCATGAATCTCACCGAAATAAGTGGACAGTAAAAGTTTTTATTATTGTTAAATGAGTTTGTTATAAATTATGCTCCATTAGTCGTTTTTGTTTTCTACCAACCTTTACTCCTGTGGCAGTGAGATAGTGTGATGTCTTTACTGGACTAATGTAGCTCATTCCTTACTTAACTATTTTAGATCAATAGGGCTTGGTTTCCGAGTCCGCCCCGCAGGAAGACGGCGAATAGATGATTAAGGATTTCATAGATTTATTTATAACATTCATTACTAATGTTTACTTAAGTTAGTTTATTCTTTTATACGTTTAATACGTTTTGGTCATTGTGTAAGAGATATTAATTAGAATTTTTACTTCGCTTCCGCACTTAGAAATTTTAATATATATATTTCCTTTTAACTTTCCGGGGCCGTTACACTTATTCTTTTAATCTAATAATTTCTTCGTAAAATCAGTTAATGGCTTGTGGAATGTTGTGTGGAACACACGACCCACTCCCTTGATTCGCCTGGTGGGATTTGGAATGGTTGCTGTTTAGAGTTTATGTATGCCTTGCGCCAATCGATTGAACTAAGTAGAAACTCAATGATTTAACTGTTGATTAAAAAATCGAGGATTTTAATTTGAACAATACTATCTCCTGGAGAGCTCTCTCCATTACAATATTATCGGTTTGAATTGATCCATATCTATTTTTTTAAATATCATATCGGATAACACTTGACTAATTAGCAAATGACATGTGTTATAAAATTTGATATATGACATTTAACTTATAAATAATATGTAAAATACTATATTTTTTTTTTGTCAAGCTTGTATTAAATATTAATAACAAATTATTAATTCTATTGTTTGAATTAGAAATAATATATGCACCAAGATGGCAATTTGGTTTTACATACACAAAAATTAATTGTTAGTCAAATAATTAGACTATATAATAAGTACGAATTACTAAAAGCATTTAAATGTTAGCTTGTGTGAGATTGAATAAATTACGAAAGAAAAATACAGCCGACATGGAACAATTAATGCGTGGTCTATTATGACCAATTACTCTTAGGTATATTGTTTATTTCTAATTGCATTTTATTTTAGATTATTGTATTAGATTATTTAATTTGATATGTATAATTGTATTCTTTTAAAAATTTATACTAATAAGAAATAATCTAACAAATTATATATATTTTAACACTCATATTCGTACTAAACTCATTAGATTAAAAGTGGGAATGAATGACCAACCAAATTTTATAAACGTTCTTTAAATATAGATGGAGAAGCGAAGATTGGGAACATCAGATTTTTAATTTTGAGACCACATTAAACAATTAATTGAATTAATTTTTCCATAAACTTTGGGGGGAGGGGGTGATATGTATAAATTTAACCAATTATTTACATTTTAACAATAATATATATATCATTTTTGTTTGAATTATTCATATGTAAGTGACTAACTACAGTACATATCTTGCTAGTCTTGAATGTTTATAATGAAATATATTGATTTATTAAAGAAGAAGCATAAGACAAAATGGACGAAGAAAATGATAGAGAACACGAGCACAGGTCAATGCATGCAATACATAAATACTTAGAAAATCTGAATAAGACAATTATTGAATTAAATGTTTTGAAGAATTGTCGGTTGTTTGTATTTTAATTCACTCATTCAAACAAATGCAGGTTTATATAGTTTGATATAATCGTGGAATTCAACGGAAAGTAAATCGATAATATTTAATTATTTGGAAAATTACGCATTAATGTTTTTTAAAAGGTTAAATTAATTATCGTTTTTTAATAATTTAAAATGTGTTCTTTTTTACATGTTTAATTAACTAAATATTTGTAGGCATATTTCGTAACCCAAGTAACACAAGTTCTTTATTTTTACAGTAAATATTTATTAAATAAAAAATTTATTATATCTTTTCTAACCCATCTCGAATTTATTATAAATTAGATAAAAGCAAAAATATAATAAATAATTTATTTTAATTAAAGTATTTTTATAATACACCAATGTTAGATGAGTGTAAATTTATCTTTATAAAATTAAAAATATAAGTAGATTTAGTTTAATTATATATTGAATATAAATTATGATTATTTTTTACATTCCGTATAAAAATTGTACGAGGATAGAAGAGGTTGTTTCTCATAGTATTTTATTAAATTATTTATCAAATTATTCTTATTTTTAATAAATTTTATTTCCAATTAATATTTTTTTATGAGGCACTACTTATTTCACCTTTCCCGAATTGGACCCTTCGACGAGCCCAAATTCTAAAAATCCGAGCCCACAAAAATGGAGAACTGAATGACGTCGATGAGCCCAGGCTAAAATAAACTGGACAGACCCAACAGCTTTAGACGGCTCAGATTGGATTTAGAGAACGCTATCAAGATTCAATGCCAACCATACACGTGGATATGACTACCATCCTAGCCATCCATTTTCCCTTTTTATAAGTCTCCTTGGCTGCCGAAACCCTAGCTAGTGTTTCTCTGATCTGCAGCGGCCCTGGAGTTCTCTTCCATCTAGTTAGTCTTCGTTTCTCTTCCAGGTACGCTTGCGATCTTCATTTGTTATTACTGTTAATCCGGAACGAAAAATATTTCAAAGGTCATGATTTCCAGTCTCAGTGCGAAGGATAGTGTCAGTTGTTTGTATATTGTTTTTCGCTATCACTTTAAATCAGACTTTTTGAAGGTGAAAAGGTCTTGTTTGGTGGCCGAGAAAAGTTGCGAAATGAGAAAGTAATATACACTGGTGAATTGTTGCAGAGGCGATATAAATGAGGGAGATACATATGTTACCGTCTATAAGTTATAGGTTTTTAGATGAGATGTATTTACTGTGTTCTTTGTTTGGTAATGTGGTGTATTCGGGCATTGATGCGTCATTGATTAGTGATTTAGCATCCATGATGGTCGTGGAGGAACAGCAATCTCTTGTCTGGTTGTGTTTCCTACTAGTTTGCATTCACGTTTCTCAACCTTCTGTTGAGTAAATTTATCAAAGAATAGAGTTTCATTGTTAGCAATTTTTCCTTCCCACTATTTCTTTGACAAAAGAATCAGCTTCGGAACTTTTAAGTGTTTGGATTTAGCACAGGTTGTGAGTTTGAGAAATGATACACAAAGTTATATCATGTAAGGATTATGAATGTAGAACCTCGATTCGGTTTACTTTTTGACATAATTGAATATCATTAAAACTAGGTAGAAAACAACAAACGCCGTGTGGTTGGGTGGGGGGGGGGTCTTCATTAGTCAGTCGAATTCGGTGATTATCATTCATCTACAGCTTTCTAAGATCGTGTTCCAAGCAAAATATACTTTTGTCACGTTTTATATGTGTTAATATTGCTTTGCTATTTGTTTTCCAATCTAGTGAACCAAATCTGTGAAGATGTTTACATCCAGGAAGAAGATCCATAAGGATAAGGATGCTGAGCCCTCTGAATTTGAGGAATCAGTTGCTCAGGTTTCAAACCTTCTTTTTGAATAAAGTTGCTAATTTGGGCACAATTCTGATTTGCGGATTAAACATCAGTTTTTGTTATTAACAGGCACTGTTTGATTTGGAAAACACCAACCAGGAGTTGAAAAGTGATTTGAAGGATTTATACATCAATTCTGCAATGTAAGAATAACTAATTAATGGATGGAGGATTAATCATGAGGTATTCTTCCATCATATAATTGATGTTTTTTCCTCTCTCACATGCAGTCAAATTGATGTTTCTGGGAGTCGAAAAGCTGTTGTCATTCATGTCCCATACAGATTGAGGAAAGCTTTTCGCAAGATTCATGTGAGGCTTGTGAGGGAGCTTGAGAAGAAGTTCAGTGGAAAGGTGAATAACAAAACAAATAAGTTGTATGAATCTTAATTTTTCTCACTTTGTGTGATTGCACGACCAGGCTCTTGTGATGGTCTTCGATATTACATAAAATGCTCGGGTTGTGGGGGAAGGAATTGTTTCATTCTGTTAGATTCATTATTAACAAGATGCTGTATTGCGAGCAAAAACTAAGAAATGTTATATTCAACATTTGAATTATTAAGAAATTTTTTAGCTAACCTGTTGCCGCCTAATATATGCTATGTTGTAATCCTGGGTGACTGCAGAAAGGTGTTAGCAAGCCTGTTCTTGCTATGCTACACTTTGTGTTAGATGCATACTTATTAGGAAATAGTTCTTCCCTAAATTCTCTACTACATTATATGACTATTAGCAGAAAGATAGCAAATCACTGTCTGGCAGAGTAGATGTTGGAGTAAATAAGCTTCTTTATGTTATTGGGTTATCCTTCATTAAAAGAAATTGTTGCTTTCTTTGAAAATGTTATTCGGTATTTGGGTTACCTTCTTTACCGAATGGTTGTAATTTTAACCAAAACTTTTGTTCTTCCATTAAGTTAATTAACTATTATGGTCATGTTTCCCTTCTGTTGGAAGGATTTTGGTCCTTTGGAAAAAGAGTAGAACAACTTAATGGGGGTGTTTGGGTGCAGGCAGGGACACTTCTAATTGCTGTTGTCTATCAGACTTGTATTCTCTTTCTACTTTTTGCTTTTTGAATTCTACTATGTGTCTGGGTTTTTATGTTCCAGTCTTTACTCCAACCAGTTTTATGAGGAGCAGAGGTACTAGGCTTTGTCGATGTCAGTTTTGGTTTCTGCTCATGTCAATTGGCTTTTCTATTCTGGTTTTATGCTTGTCGTGTGTATTGATCTACTGGTACTGTTAATATTTTTCGTGATTGTAAGTTGCGATATATAACTATCTTGTAGGATGTTGTCCTGATTGCGACCCGGAGGATGCTGAGGCCCCCAAAGAAGGGTTCTGCTGTTCAACGACCACGCAGCCGCACACTGACGGCTGTGCATGAGTCAATGCTCGATGATATTGTTTTGCCTGCTGAAATTGTTGGGAAGCGCATTAGATACCGAGTTGATGGATCTAAGGTCATGAAGGTAAATCAATTGGGCAATATTATAGGTTTTCACGCATTTATTCATTGTTATAAAATCTGCCCTTGTAATCCAATTTTTCTTCCAATTTGGTCAGGTTTTCTTGGATCCAAAGGAAAGAAACAACACCGAATACAAAATGGAGACCTTCTCTGCGGTATACAGGAAGCTTTCAGGCAAAGATGTCGTGTTTGAGTTCCCAGTTGCGGAGGCATAATGGGATCATAATGATGCCATTTGGAGTTTAATTGTTCTTCTATCCCCCGAATTTGCTCTAGTAGGCAAACTATTTAAAATTTTGACAAGGATTTAGTTGATTAGTGAGATGGAAATTGTTGTTTCGGATCCAGTTAATTAAATTTGTTGTGTTGTTCTGATTGACCTAGGGTTTTCAAGATTTACGGTAAATAATATCACACGTCTACTTAGGTGAGGTTGTGGGTAACTTTCTCCATTACCCCATGAAAGGAAAACATGGTACATATATATTGCCAGCGTTTGTGGTTATGTATGGGCAAGTTTTAAAAGGAGGTAATATAAGCTTCCAGATGTTCAGACAATTAGAAAGCAAAATTAAAAGTACAGTGGTAAGTAATTTCCTCTTTGCATGAATTGTCGGAAGGATGATGTTTTTGTGACAGCTTATTCACTTGTTACCCAGGTGATATTGTTCAATTATGATATGTTTTTAAAACCCTTTTTAACTGAAAAATAGAAATTGAGAAAACATTAGTTTTATCAAAAATTGTCTTATATTACATCCCTGTGTGAGTATAAATAAATATATGAAAAATATTTATATTTTAGATGTAAAAGAACATGATCAATTGTTAGTCAATAGAAGGATGTGCACCAGATTATATTCTCAGCATGGATGGAGCGAACTCTGTGCGATATCAGATCATCATATATATCTGCATTATATATAGATATTAAAGCCATCCATAATTCTGTGAGCAGATAGCTTCAAAATTTTAAAATAAAGGATTCATTCTTCCTCCTGAATTTTACCAAAGATTCGAGAACAAGCACCTGCAAATCGAATAAGTAAACAAGATGTTTACCTTCGGTCTTCGTTTAAGACAATAAGAAATGAGGGAGAGAGATGTCAGAAAGAATTATGGTTTGATGTGAAGATCTGTATTTATCGATAAAGAATATAATATACCGAAGAATACAAACCCTAGTCATTGCAGAATCTGACTATTCCCAAGAAAACAAAGAAGCCTGATAAAAGAAAAATATCAGGAGCATGTTTTCTTATTAGCTTGAAAAACATAATTAAGCACCTATCTTTAATAGGATATTTGGAGCATACCAATACGAAGTCCACAGAGTGTCCACTGTATGAACAGCAGCAAGAAATAATTAGGCTGCTAAACTTGTATAAAGATATATATATATATATATATATATATGTAGATAATATTTCCCCATATATAAATTGACTGAAACTAGTAAAATTAATTCATTTTATGAACCAGAAGTTTGCAATAAGGTCCTCAACTCATGCATTTCAAATGGATCTCAAGTATTCCTATAAACATCTTACGATACTGATAAGGAGGTAAAAATCTATACATACATGTACCATAAACACACACAGAAGCCTGCACTATATACTGCTGTCTGCATGGAAAACCTAAAATAAGCATAATAACCGATGTATTAAATCAGAAGATATGTCTGCATTTTGCCATCTTTCACATTAACAGAAAACGCCTAAAAACCAATTTGCAATCTTACTCGATACCTACCATCTCGATGAGTCCTAAAAGCGAACACATTTAGGAAATAGGAAAAGCCCTTTTACTTCAAGATATAAATACACTTCATATCTTGAAAAGGGAAGAGATCATATTCATACCCAGATCAAAGCAATGCTCAAACTTCCTTTCTATTACAAAATTTGAGATAAATGAATGAGAATGCAGTCATTCCTTCTCACCCAAAGCATTAGTCTATAACAATGCAGCATAGATTACAAATCAAGGAGAGAGAGAGAGAGAGAGAGAGAGAGAGAGAGAGAGAGAGAGAGAGAGAGAGAGAGAGAGAGAGAGAGAGAGAGAGAGAGAGGGAGAGAAACAAACTGCAAGTATAACCACAGTGCAGATGGTGAGAGTAAGAAGGAAGATGACTTGGTCGTGATTGCAGCAATTGTTCAGTTCCCAGTTAGGCCTCAAACTTCAAATTTCAAACAACCAAACTCTTTCAATCTTTTTGATGTTTACCGGATGCTCACAGCCTTTGAGCAATACATAAGTTAAGTTGGTGCATACTTGACAAAGTAAAAATGGCGTATATATGCATATATACATGTCTACTGTAGAGACAGAGACGGTTTCATTATCTCTCAAATCAATATACCGGTCTGAGTTTGATGACCAGTTTTGACTTCTATTTTTTTCTTGTGTTTTGTAGAAATAATCAAACTGGACTTGTGTCCGTTTACTAGTCTGACTGATGATTTACAAGGGGATTGAGAATTTCTTTTCACGTAAAGAATCATATTGTTAATATTTTAAATCTAAAGTTATATGTTAATAAAAGATAACCTAATGAACATCTTTATTATTAGATACATTAAAAAATTAAAAATGATAATAGCATTCCAAGTTCTCATCCCAATGAACAAATTGAGAAAATATCAATCCATATAAAGTCTTAAGTAGAAGTGTTCCTCGTAATCACAATCCAACTGCAGTGCAAAAGTTTCTCCAACAAAATGATTTATCTACCCTCATCATAAGACGAAACAGAGAGGGAACATATGCTTTCATCATCCTCCATAGAAACTGAAATAGGTTTAGGCAGAATTGACAACTCACTTGAAAGCATGAGATTAACAGACTTCATATCGGGCCTATCTTTATGGCTTATTTCACAACATAACAACCCTATCTGAATGCACTTGGCTGCCTCGTTGTGATTGTACTGGGAAAGACTTGAATCGACTAATTCCAAGCTATTCTCTTCTTTATAAAGCCTCCATGAATGTGGTACAAGATATTATGAACATCGCTAATTAGTTTTAGTGTAAAACACACTAAGCCTCCGTAAGTAAAAAATTGATCACTCTCCAGATTTCAATTAATCAGCCAGTAAGATATGAAGGTAGTTCTTTGAAAAAGATGTAGTGTTAAAAGAAAATTGAGTCAGGTACATCAGAGAATTCACGTACATGATCCAACAGGCTTTCCTTTGCTTCAATCAACCCCGTCCTTCTTCCACTATCTCTAAAATCAAAATTCCAAAACTGAAAACATCAGCCTTCACGAACAAATATCCATTCATTCTATATTCACGGGCTATGTATCCACTGCAATCAGCAACAATTTACTTGCGAATTTTACCATTTACTCGAGGAAATTTACATAAGCGTTGCTCTGACCAAGTTTTTTTTTTTGAGGTGGCAGGCCTATGTAAGGAACAGTATCACCATCACCAGATGTTATGGGGAGAATGATGTATGGAGAAATTAGCATAAAGAACAGAAGAAACAACTCACAGATCACCAGAGATCATCGAGTCATTGACATGGGTGTTTTTCTCTGGAAACAACTTTGCAATGCCAAAATCTGATATTTTGGATTAAATTTCTCATCATGCCAAATATTACGAGCACAGATATTGCCATGAATGATTGTTCCACTTCCAGGTGCTTCTTCATGGAGATAAAAAAGGCCTCTCGCCACACCTTTTACTATCCGAAATCGGGTTGTCCAATCCAAGCACGAAGATCTGTCTTCATCAGAAAATTTAGGCATTTTATCTGCTAGTCAGAATTTACCAACATTTAACTGATTGTTGATTGAGAAGATTCAATTATGGCAGATAATGAAAGCATATTTCACCAAAGAGAAAGTTGTCAAGGCTTTCGTTTGGTAGATACTCATAAACAATCATCTTCTTCACAATACCCCAGCAAGCTAACCAAGTTCTTGTGGTGGGTCGTGATTAGTAGCTGCACCTCATTTCGGAAGTCTATTGGCACATATGATGGTGAAAGCTTCTTAACAGCGACTTCTTGACCATTCGGCATCAATCCCTACTAAAATCATGCATAAGCGAAAGCTTTATAAAATTTTTTTTACAGATTTTCGTTTATGATTATTATGTTTAAACAAAATAAAAATTTCTGGCTTCTTCATATTTGTTCTTGCTTATATAATTACATTAGAAACATTAATTTCCATAATTGCAATAAATAGCAGGACAAATTTTGCAAATCAGTTTTCTGCTACCATTTCCATCCCTATCATCTAACAACATTTGGACGATGTAAACCAAGAAGTTTGATTAATTAGTCATTTCTTCTTGTAACTAGAAAATTGACACTATATCTTTTAATTGAAAATTATTTAACACAAAATTACGGAATAATTTTTCTCAAATCCTAAAAATCTCTCTATTCTTCACATGATATCCTTCTCGTGCTTCCTACTGTTTGTTTTTTCATCTTCTTCTTTTCTAATCAATGGAGGTTAGATTAGGAATTAGATTCCTAACCGACACGAACCACAAAAATACGAGCATCTCCAAATGTTGATGCTTAAAACTAGTAGCCACTTGATTTTTCTAACTTCACGTATAGTAATTCTACACAACTACCTTACAGAAGCGGCCGTAGCCACATTTGCCAAGCAAGTTGTTCTTGGAGAAGAAGTTGGTGGAAACCTGTAGAGTGCAAAGGTCGAAGGAGATATTCCATTGTTCCTCTTCTTCAGGCTCCTTACTGAAGCAGGTGAAAAGGCTGGACAAGAAAACCCATCAAGACACCACCATGTACCGGCACAAATCCTGCTGATCGTACGGCATATAAAAATATTGGTCCGTTAAACGGAGACGGCGTTGACTTGGTGGCGTCAAACCCGTGTTTTGATTGACTAAATGTTAAGGCATCAAACCCGTTAAACGGACAGGAACTCGTGTTTAGAAACCGTTTTTGTTTTCTTTTTTTTTTTTTTTTTTGGAAAAATATAACGATATGATTTTTTTTTTTTTTTTTTTTTTTATAGTAAGAGATTGTGTTAGGATAAATATGTATTTTCTAATTAATTAATAAAATATTTATATTTTTAATTAAAAAATAAAAATTACTCAGCTGTTGAAATTAGATGTCATTTTTAAAATTGGAATAATGGTTTACAAAGTAGAAAAGGAACAAATTATTCACGAGAGGAAACAGAGATGAGCTTTAAAGATCCCTAAGTATCTTCCTCGCAAGAATTAAAATTTGGAAATTCAAATCTTGGCTTACTAGGTTTTTGTAAAATAGGCAAGACACCTGATAATATGAGATTAATAGATTTCATATCTGGCCTAGCATCAACACCTCCTTGACAACACAATAATCCTAGCTCAATGCACAATTCTGCCTCGTTGCGATTGTACGATGCAAGACTTGAATCAACTAATTCCAAGGCCTTATCTTCTTCATAAAGCCTCCATGTCTGCAAAACAGATTTTAAACACCACCCATTAATTTCAATGTGAAGCCATATGCTGATGAATTAGATAAATTGGTTTTCATCAAATCTGAAAGGGTTAAAAGAACAGTAAGCCAGCAACTTCAATTACTCTTAGATAAAATGGTTTTCATCAAATCTGAAAGGATTAAAAGAACAGTAAGGCAGCAACTTCAATTACTCTTAATTAAGGCCAATAAGACATTATTAGATTCTGATAGAAAACGATATAGTTATAGCTAAAGTGAGTCAAGAGACGCATAAACTAAAATTCACTTACATAACTCAACAAATCACTCATATCTCCACTCTGGCGCAGATTACGGTTGCTTATTCCACTTACAATCTCTAAAACCAAGACTCCAAAACTGAAAACATCAGCCTTTGCAGACAATTTTCCATACAGTTCATATTCAGGGGCCATGTAACCACTGCAAGTAATCAGCAAAAGGATGATTCTACTTATTTTACCATGTCCTAAAGAAAAATCAAGTGTTGAGATGACCCAGTATATATAAACAGGAGTGTGATTATAATCAAACTACATGTACAGGAGAATGAAATGAGAAAACATGGAAGAGAGCAAAGAAAGTACTACTAACATAATTCCAGATTCACTGCAGCCAATATGGGTGACGTCCCAAGGAAGGAGCTTTGCCTGGCCAAGTGCTGAAATCTTTGGATTAAACTGCTCATCTAGCAAAACATTACAAGCTCCAATATTCCCATGAACAGTCTTCAGAAAAGCTTCTTCGTGGAGGTAGAGAAGACCATTTGCCACACCTTTTATGATCTGAAATCGCCTTTGCCAGTCCAGCCACCAAGACTTGTCTTTATCTGAAAATTTTTGTGAAGGTTTCATGACCCAATATGATTGTTGCTTGATAAGATTTCAACTGTAGTAAAAAGTATGTTCATATATATTTTACCAAAGAGAAAGAATTCAAGGCTATTGTTGGGCAGATACTCATAAACAAGCATCATCTCAGGACCTTCTTCACAATACCCTAGGAAGGTAACAAAGTTTTTGTGCTGGATTTCCACTAGTATTTTCATATCATTTCTAAATTCTCTTAAGCCCTCCCTTAACCCCTTTGGAAGCTTCTTGACGGCTACTTCTTGACCATTCGGCATCAATCCCTGTGAAGGTATTCCAACAAATCAAAACTTTTTTGTGGAATATATTCACAAAATATGCTTACAGCAGCAGCAGCAGGTGTTTTAAGCTACCCTATAAATTCTTTATTTCCATCAATCCAACCAGAGAGACCAAAG